ATCTAACAAAATTGTTTCAAATGAAGTTAAAGACAGCGAAGGGCTGCTGGAGCCATCTTACATAAAAAACCAAACGAAATTTTTGGCCAACCCAATATACGATGACATGCTACTGCATGTTCCTTCCCACATCTCTATGCAACAAGTCAGTGAAATCAGCCATGGCAGTAGTTTTCAAACCGTAGAAATAGGCAAATACTGCAAATCAAGATGTTTTTCCTCCAGAGAGCCAGTTGTTAAACATGAGCCAATACACTACTGTCCAGGGTGAACTTTGGTCCTTGGGGTCCTAAGTGAGGGGTGCTGGCATGCGGGCACCCTTGGGGCCCAGGTGCCCAGCTGTGAGCTCTGGGCTCCAGCCCCTGCATGACTCCCTTACTCCCTCAGGGCTTCATCCTCCTGCCCAAGACAGAGTGTGACGTGTGTGAAGTGGAGTTTGCCCGATGCCTGCGGCTTCGCCAGACCTCCCTGGAGCCTGTTGCCTTCCGGTTGCCCCGAGTCAGGGTGAGGATGGGGGCCCAGCCCCTCTCCGGGACTTTGAGGCCCCACCGGCCCTGTTTCAAGACTGCCCTCTCACTGTTTGGGGGATCACCTGTTCTCTTACTTTGCTGAGATTATGAACTCATGGAAACTCCAGACTGGGCTTCAGGTCTTGCCATTTCCCCCTCCCAATGCATGCGAGTATGCCCTGGGCTTCTGGTCATTGCCTGAGGGCGGCCCCTTTCTCCCTCCCTGCAGAAAGAGTTCTTCCAGGATGATGTGTTCCCAGACACAGCAGTGAGCTGGGAGCCAGTGCTCAATGCCAAAGCCTGGCTGGGAGGTGCTAACGGACAGCCCCGTCTTCTCAGCCTGCAGCCCCCTGGCATGACCCCAGGTAGGAAGAGGGTAGAAAGCAGGAAGTGGATGGGGGTTAGAGAAAGGGGCAGAAGACAGATCCTCTGTCCCTGCTGGTATGCAGACACTTCTGGGCTCCTAAGGATGGGGTGGCTGTACCTGCAGGCTCAGTCTCTAAGGCACGGGAGAATAGGGTTCAGGGTCTGTGTTACCATCTCAAGTCCCCACCTAAATACACATGTACTCACACACTCACTCACTCACGCACACATGCAGCCTGGTGTTCGGGGCAAGCCTGGTGAACAGAGGGTTGAGAGCTATTAATGCTACTTCTGGGAGTCTCTGCCACAGAATCCCCTAGGTGGCTGGTTCCAAAGGATTGGGTGGAGAGCTCCCCACAAAGGGACTCTTATGCCTGGTATTCATCCTTGCCCTGCCCCAGTGAGCCAGGCCCCCCGTGAAGCCCCTGCCCGGAGGGCCCCATCCTCAGCACTCTACCTGGAGGAAAAGTCAGACCAGCAAAAGAAGGAAGAGGTAGGCATGGGACAGGGCTGGCCATGGGAAGGGCACAGGGCCCCTCAGTTGTTCTTCAGTTCTCTAGCCCAACCCAGACTGGGATAGGAGCCGGTGTCATACCCGTCTCAGTCGAAGAGCTTGCTGGGGAGGCCTTTCAGAGCTCTGAAGTTGACTGCTGCCACCCATGAGACATGGGACTCAGGAAGCCATGGAATGGCAGAGAGAGTCCCTGCCTTGGCCTGTCCCAACCTAACCAGAACTAGAGGTTTTGGACCCAAGTGCATTTGGGACCCTGGTGCACACTTGAGCCTCTGGGGCAATGTTCAGGGACAGCTGCCTTGTGACTCCAGTGCTGCATGTCACAATCTGTCCGTCTCTGGCTCCCCCATCTCTACAGAGCTGTTTTATTTTGTTTTTTAATGAAAACCATCAACTTTGTTGGGGCTTTCATGAAAATGGCTCTTTTACAACCTCAGCAGGGTTCAAAGTGGGGTATGACATTTTTGGGGTCAAAGGTCCTATTCCCTTCCCACCTCTTCTCCTGTCTACTCTCCCAGCTGCTCAGTGCTATGGTGGCAAAGCTAGGGAATCGGGAGGACCCGCTCCCCCAGGACTCCTTCGAAGGTGTGGACGAGGCTGAGTGGGTGAGTGAATGAATGGGCCTAGCATCCCATCTCTTTCCTATTCACCCCTGCAGCATGTACCACCTCCCTTCCCAATTACCTCTCAACTCCCTCCCACTTCTTGGTTTATCTTCCCAGGACTAGTCTGCCCACTAAGCCACCTCTGGCCTCACCTGCCGTTGCCACCTCCTAGAACCACCTAGTGCCCCTGCACACCTCCTATCTTACCCTCAAACTGGAAGGCACGTCTTGGCTCTGGCAAAACACATCCCAGAGGCCCTGGCTTTTCTTGGGCCTTGGGCACTTCCATGCCCTTTGGGCCCTGCTAAAACGCCCGTGGATTATCTACACCTCTGCTTTCTCTGGTACTGCCCGCTTTCCTCAGCTGCCTGCTAGCATGTGGAGCCAGAAGCATGGGGGTGGGATGAGGTTGGGGGGCCAGTAGCATGTCCCTGGGCAGGCCCTGGACTCCCTGTCTCCCTACTCCGACCTAAGCTGCCTTCACCCAGCACCTTCAGTTATTACATGCCACCTCGTCTTGCCTGCTGTCCCAATTCTGGCCAAAGGCCTTGGGGGCTGGTCCCCTGCCAGGCCATTTGGAGCAACATCAGCATCAGGGTTCTGGGACCAGTCACCCTGTTCCCCAGACTTGAAGCCAGGAGAAGGGGGCATCATAGGCTGGTGGCCCGGTTAAGGGGGTGTGAACCCCACAGGGGCTGGCCTGCATATGCCTGGGATATTTTCAGCAATTAAACTTTTCTAAGCTGGCCACCTCTTGTGCTGCTGTGGTCTCTGGGCTGGCTGGGAGGGGAAGGGGACAGGAGTATAGGTGAGAGTTCCCCCTGATCGTGGGCTCCACTTTGCTCCTGAGGCCATTTCAGCTACATCCTCTTCAGAGTTCATTCATTCATTCAATACAGGGGTGTTTAGCAGTGCTATATACAGTAGATACTGTTAAACAGATGGGGGTGACATGAACCTCTCAAGATACTTATTATAGTCTTATTATGCAGGGGAGCCAGACTTTGCAAGTAAGTAAATAAGGCTGTGAAGAAAATAAATTACATGCACGGGAGTGACTGGGATGCAGGGGGAAACAGGGTGTTCAGGGTCTGAGAGGGTGACATTTAAGCTGAGAGCTAAGACCTGAAAGCCGAGAAGCCACAGAGAGAGCCCTGAGAACGTTTCAGACAAAGGGAGGGATGGCCTGGGTGCAGAGGGAAGAAAGAATTTGGAGAGCTGGAGGAAAGGAAAGAAGGGCAGTGGTCCTTAACATAGCACAAAGCAGCCTGACTTACATTCATTCAACAAACATTTGGCAGTTGCCTTTCATGTGTCAGCCACTGTTCAGGTGCTGACCTCCAAGGATGGAGAAAAGAGATAAAATGTATCCACCAGGAATCCATATTCTAGTGTGAGGGAAGAGATTATAAACAATAAATTTAAAAATAAGTGAGTGACATATGGTAGAAGATGATAACAGCCTTGGAAAAAACGGGGATTAAGAATGGAGGTTTAGCCCGGGCTGGGTATCTCACTTGATTAAAGCGTCATCCCAATATGCCAAGATTGTAGGTTCTATACCTGGTCAGGGCACATACAAGAATCAACCAATGAATGCATAAATAAGTGAAACAACATACCGATGTTTTTTTCCCTCTGTTTCTAAAATCAATACATTTTTAAAGAATGGAGGTTTAAGCCAGATACAAAAGGCCACATATATTATTATCCCATTTACCTGAGACTTCCGAAACAGACAAATCCATAGAGACAGAATGGATTCTTGGTCACGAGGTCATGACAGGAAAATGGGCAGTGACTACTAATGGGTAGTGAGCTTTGGTGGGGGAGAAGTCATGAAATATTCTGGTAGCAACTCTGTGAATATACTAAAAAATGAAACTGGAAAAGTCAGCATTCATGCTATCTGTCACTACCAGAACCAATAAGTAGAGACAATGATTGAATCTTTAAGGGTGCTTTATTCAGGTATCGGCAGTCTGACAAGAGGGCTGGTTATGTACCCTAAAAACTGTCATAACATCTCATCCCAAGCCAACCTTTTTATGGGGAGAAGGAAAAGGTTGGTAAGGGGTTTGGGAAAAGGTTCGTGAAGTAAGAGTTACAGTCCAGAGGTGGTTTTCTAGCATTTCTTTATCTGCTCATCAACAGTTTTTAATCTTCATCAGGGAAGTTCCCTCCTTGGAAAACAATGTCTCAGATACTGGGGCACAAGGGTTGAATTGTTTGTCGACCTCCTGGACCTCCTGGAATCACGTAGGTTCATGCATTCCAGTTCCTGGGATAATAACTTTCCACATGCATTAATCACTTAAGCCTATTGACTATAACTGAAGCTAAAATCTTTAACTCTTGAGCTTCCCTAGCAAAAGCACTGAATTGTACACTTAAAAAGAATGAATTGTATGGTGTGTGGATTATATCCCAATATATCCAGTATTAAAAATGTTGGGAAGTAGGGGGAGGAGGTTATAAGGGGACTAAGTGGTAATAGAAAAGATATAATAAAATATTTAAAACTTTTTTTTTTTAAGTTGGGAGGAGTCAGGGTGGGCCTCATTGAGAGGGTGACGTTTGAGCAAAGACTTGGAGAAGCGAATGAGTCCTCCTTCCTAGAAAGTAGGAACCTGGAATGAAGCCTATTTTGAAGTTTTTTTAAATATTTGTGAGAATTTGTTACCACACTGCTTATGTTCGTGGTGTGTTGTATGCTTACTGCATATGTTTTAGTTCTACACATTTTGGCAAAATCAAGAGAAGAAATTGCCCCTCATCTGACAGATTTCTTCAGCGGCACGAAGCGCAGCAGGTTAAGCACAAGGGCCAGCGTGGTTCCTGGAACCGCCCATCACCCGCCCCTGCTTGTCTTCAGAGCCAGAGCCTGAGACAGGACTCGCCTCCAACTCCGCCTACGTTTTTACGTAACCATCGACACTCCGCCTCCCGTGGGTCGAGGCCTTGCGCATGCCCAGCGCGGCGTCGCGCACGCGCTTCGGCAGCTTCCCTTGACCTTTGACCCTCCGGCCGCCCTTGAGCTCGGGCTGGGGGCCTGGAAGCCAAAGCCCGTGCTCCCGAGGCAGAGCGGCCGCCATGGTGAGGCCTGAGTCTGGGGCTGCCTGGGAAAGGGGAGGCCATTTCGGGCCCTGGGCGGGGGCGTCTAGTTCCAGCCGGGCTGTGGGCGTCGCGTTCCACTTAGGTTCCCGGCGGGAAGAGGGGCCGAGGACGTACCTAGGCGGGCCCTGGCGGCCTCGGAGTCGGGGAGAGCCGGCTGGAAGGAAAATGCCCAGCAGATGCGATTGCCACGTGCAGCAGCCCATGTGCGAGCTGCCTGAGGTGAAGCCTAGCCCGGCACACGAGCCCCAGCTCTGTCCCGGGGCTGGTTGATGGTGTCGCCCTATTATTGTCCCCATTTTAAAGCTGGAGTAACGGGCTCAGAGACTTTACCAGTAAAATGTCAGAACTGGCTGACAGGCTGTGCGACACTGAGAACTGAGGGTTTCTGCGGTACCGTTGACACCTAGAGCCAGTCCACAGACCTGGGCCACGCTGGCTGCATCAGGTCACTAAAAATGCAGTGTCCTTAGCTCTACGCCTGGAGGTTCTGTATATATAAATTCCCCAAGTGATTGCTTCGGGGTTTGAGCAGCCACTTCTTAACCGACAGTGATAAGGATAACAAAAGAGCTTCGGCTTTATGAAGATATTTACTTAATTCTTATGAAGTCAGTGTTCTCGCTGTCCCCATTTCACAGAGAAGGAACCTGAAGCTCTGAGTTAGACTCTTCCAAAGTCGCAAGTGTCAGCGACGTGTTGAGTCCAGCTCCTTCTGCGCCTTGACTCCACGTTTCCCACCACGCTATTTCTGCCTTGTAGTAGTCACTGCCATTTGTTGAGGTCTTATAATAAGCCCTCATTGAGTGGATCCTTCACACCCACTCCCACAAGTAACTCTGAACTGCCCTGAAGGTTGAGTTAAGATGTGGCTGTGGAGGAGTTTGTACTCTATAGGAGAAGACAGGTCAGTCCGTAAATAAGACAAGATGACAATACATTGATAGGAAAATAAAGTGCTATGAGAAGGTAGAAATATGAGGAGTCTAGGAAGATTTCACTGGGGAATGGGGTGACATGACTAAGTCTTGGGGGATGTTGGGTTTTGACAGTATCAAAGTAGAAGGGAGGATATTCAGGGTTAAGGGGTATGGAGTTTTTTTGGGATGTGGGTGATGAAAATGTTCTGAAAGTAGTGGTGATAGTTGAACAGCTCTGTGAATACACTAAAAAGCGCTGAATTGCATGCTTTTGAAAAGTGACCTGTATGGTGTGTGAATTCAGAGCTGCAGAGATTTCAGGTAAAGAGGTAGGGAAGCCCTGGCTGGTGTGGCGAAGCAAAAGGTTGCTGGTTTGATTCCCAGTCAGGGCACATGCCTGGATTGTGGGCCAAGTTCCTAGTTGGAGGTGTGCAAGAGGCAAGGGATCGATGTTTCTCTCACACATTGATGTTTCTGTGTTTCTCTCCCTTTCTCCTTCCCTTCCCTGCTCTCTAAAAGTAAATAAAAGCTTAGAAAAGAAAAAGAAGTAGGGCAGCTGATCTAGGTGTAAACAGATGGTGGAGAGAGGTGGGGGAAGAAGAAACCAGATAAGCCATTTGTAGCTGGACAGAGCTGGAGAGTGGACTGAATTTGCAGGCTGTGGTGGTGGAGAATTGTGTGTATTTTGGGGGAATGGCCAGAACTCTCCTTCAGCAGAGGGAGTGGGAAGCATTTGGAAATCTTGTCTGGGTGCTTAGGTATTATGAGACTTCAGTTTGGCCAATGCAGAGCTGATGGCAATTTGGTTAAGTGTCATATTCATTCAAATAGATATTAGGCACCTGCTACATGAACCACAGGTTGGGCCTGCACATACCATGGCAGCTATGACAGTTGTCCTGACCTCTCTCCTGCCTAGTTTTGATACCAGCAGCTGTTTGCAGGGCTCCTGCATGAACAGAGTCCCCTTCGTATCTCCGTGAGCCCCTGAGAGAAGGGGTTGAATCCCAGTGGCTGTCTATGCCCACCAGCCAGAGGGCTTGGAACTGTGCCTTGAAGGAAGCATTGCGCATTGGTTTGTCTGAAAGCCAGGCTCCTTTCTTGATGCAATTGAGGTAGGATAAACCACATTCCTGAGTGCTCCCCAACCTCCATGCTACTGTCCTCCTTTCAACTAGCTGTGGGGCTGTGATCTTACTTTAGGCCACAGTACTCCCCATATGAGAAAGCATGTGTGCTGTCCACAGTGGGTCCCTGGCTCGGAGTCCTGTGGCTCTGACCTCTGCTCCTTGACTGTCACCTTGGGCTGAAGTTGGATACTGTGTCAGCCAGTTGCTCCAGCCCAGGGTCTTCTGGCCCAAGTGTCACTCTGTGGACGATGAGATGTTTTAGAGCTTTCTAGGAGAGGCCTTAGCCAGTGGCTGTGTTCATCATCTGTGCCGGGTACAGCTGGCAGAGCTCTGCGCCCCATGGATCCTCAGCTCTGAGCATAGTTGACTCACAACTGATGCTCAGCAGGTATCTGGGTACTGAATAGATGGATGACAGGCTTGGCCGCACCGCTGACCTCGAGGCCATTCAACATCAAATAGGATCTGGTCAGGAAGCAGAGGCTGCTGTTGAGCTGCTCTGGACCTGCCACTCTCTGTCTGTCCTCTTGGTCTTAAGTGCATTGCCTTCTGAGGGCCTTATAGCTCTCCTGTGAGCAGGATATTGTCCTCCCCACTTTGCAAATAAGAAAACTGAAATTCAAAGAGGTTAAGTAATTTGCCCAAGACTACACAGCTAACAAGAAGCAAAGCTGGGATTCCAGATTATGTCAGCCCAGTTCTAAAGCAGCATTCTCTTTTACACTGCTTCTGAGATCCCTGGGAATGTGGCCCAGCTTTTTGCAGCCTCCTCCCTTCAGTAATCAGAGGATCTATCAAATGAGCTGCTTTATTAGGAGAAGCTTTGTTATTCTATAGTGACTAGCCACTGTCAAGTCTTGTGGAACAAAGAATAGTAATAAATGAAAACCAACATTTATTGAGCACATACTGGGTCACCAGGCTCTGTGCCAGGCACTTTGCAAATATTACCTCATTTAATCCTTATGGCAGCCCCATTGTTGGTGAGGGAGGAACCCACAGCTCAGGGAGGTTGAGAACTTGTCCAGGGCACACAGCTGGGATTTGCATACAGGTGATCCCAAAGCTTGCGTATATAACCACTACACCATACTGCCTCCCCTGGGAGATGACTCTCACAGGAACCTTGGTAACCTCAATGGGCAGCTCCCTTGGCCAGCGGGTGGCCTCTAAAATTTTGCAGGCCAGCCCAGCCTTCCCCGTAGCCACGGAGCTCTGGCAACGGGAACCATGGGCCCACCATGCCACTTTGGTTTTAAGCCTACAGGGGATGGTTGAGGGTGTTGTCCAGTCACAGCTTTGTTCTTAACATTTATTATTTAGCAACAGTTACCATGCTGGACAAAGAGGTAAACCGATGAGTACAAAGTGGTACAATGGGTTTGCACTCAGTTGTGTGGCGGCAGAGGAAGGTGAGTTCTGAAGTTTGAGGGCATTCCAGGCCAACAGAACCCTCTGAAGTCACCTAGTGGCCTGTCAGTCTCTGTCACTCACACAGGACCAGCAGTTTATCTCAAAGGCTCCTGTCCCATTTGAGAGTGGCTTTAGGTGAGGCTGAGAGTCAGGTGACGCTTCCCAATCAGCAGTGTGTCCATTATTTGTCCTTACGCCTGCAAGACAGCCCTGCTTCTCTTCTTTGAGCTTTGGTTTCTGGTGTGAAATACTGGACTTAGGAAATTCCTACCCACTTGTGAAGTCCAAACCCTGTTCCATTTATTACAGTAATTCCTGACAATGGCCCAGAATCATGTCCTGCCCCAACCATTAGAGAAGGCCGGGTTTGTTGGAGGGCAAACAAAGCCAGTTCTGTAGTGTGGATTCCACTGGAATCTGAAAAGACCCTGTTTGGCCTCTAGGTTGGGTTCTTGCTCCTTGTCAGGTTATTTTGTTGCCCTCCCTGCAGACCTAGGCCCCTGTGTGAAGTGGGCAGCCTAGGGATGCCATGGCTTATAGCATTGGCTTGGGGATTCCTACCCACCTTCCCCTGAGTACTAGTTGTGTGTCCTTGGGCTGGTCGCTGAACAGCTCTGTACCTCAGTGCCTTTTTTTTTTTTGTATTTTTTTTTGTGCCTCAGTGTCTTGAGTTGTTGGGATTAAATAGCACAGTAAATGTTTTTTTGGCATACTTGCTAGCATCCTGGTTCAGTTGATACTTGTTGACTGATAGGAAATCTAATGATAGAAAAGTACAAAGAACAAGGGAAACCACTTGGATGTGCTCCATTCGTCCTTTTTGTACCCAAGTTTGTACCATCTCATACACATGGTCATTTTCACATGTGCTGGCTATATGTGATCTCTTCACAGTAAGATCTGCACATTGCCCACCTCAACCTCCTTCCTGGTCTCTAACTGAAAGTTCCCTAAGCAGGTCCTGGCTGCTACTCAGACATTTCTTATGCTTTCTCCCAGTTTTGACTCCCTCTGGCCCCTCTGCCTAGTGTTCCTGTCATAATTCTACCAGCCCTTCAAAACCCATCCCAGTAAAAATGCTATTGTCTTCCAGTGCATCCATCTCATTCCTGGATTTCTGTCCATCGCCTCTCCATGCCTCTGGTCACACACTTAATGAGACTTCCTGCTTGACTCTGGTGCATGGAACCATGTAGTCTTGGAGTAGGAAGCTGCTGTGTGGTGCTGCTGTGCGTGGATGATTTCCCTGTGAGGCCTGGTGGGTGCGGGAGCTTAAGGGCAGGGGCCAGTGTATCTTTGTAGTCTGAGTGCTGCCTCTCAGCAAGTGCATGAATGAATGAGCCAGTGGCGGAACAGGTGACCAGTCCTGCTCTTCCTCACCATTTGGTCCTCGATGTGTTTGTCTAAATGCCTGCCTTGTGGGCGTTTCATTCTTGGACAGTACAAAGTGTTTTGCTATTTTGTCGTGTTGAATGGAGCACACTTTAGTGTTGGGAGAATTAGAGTGTCTCTGAGTTTCCTCACCAGTAAAAAGAAGGTTGGACCAGCCCATCTCAGCAGCACAGAAAGCGCCCTTGTTGGCCCTGATGGCAAACTGAGTGGTGAATCTGGGACTGGCCCCTGGTTCTGGCTCCAGGCCACAGTATTACTCCTGAAGCCAGTGTCCTGCAGCCATTAGCCTTGACTCCTGTCTGTTTCTGCGGACTCAGTCAGGTTTATGCACTTACCTGTTATCTCATGAGCACCTGAAGCCACCCAAAACAGCTTTTCATTAGAATAGGTGGCCTGTGGCTGCTACTCTGTGCTTTATTACCTCAGCTCTCCAGAGGCCTTACCACTCTGCAGCCATTTCCAGGGTACCGTCTCTAGGGGCTTCAGCCTGCTAACCAGGTGCCTGCTTTGCCCACAGGCCAAGTACCTGGCCCAGATCATTGTGATGGGGGTACAGGTGGTGGGCAGGGCCTTTGCCCGGGCCCTGCGCCAGGAGTTTGCAGGTAAGCTTGGCCCCTGTTTCCCCCTGGGGAGGAAGCTCCCATTGCTGTGGGCCCCTCATGCTGGGCCAGTTGTGAATGTAGTAACTCTCTGTGAGCTGAGGTTCTGGTGGCTTGGGTGGCCTGGGGCACTTCCCGTGGTGTGGGAGCAGTACTGGACCCTGGGACATTCACGTAGAAGAGAGTCCTAGGCAGGAGCTGGCTGCTTTTAAGGCAGAGTCCAGTAGTTATAGCACAGACTAATTGGCCTGCAAAACCTAAAATACTTATTCTCTGGCTCTGTAAGAAAAAGTGTACTGGCTTCTGAATCTAGGGCCATTGAAAGGGAAATGATCACCCAAGGCAGCCTGCTTTTGTGGCCCAGGTAACTGGTGGGCAGCAAGTCTTGACAGAGCTATTGCTGTCTTCCCTGGCCCACAACTTCACTCTGCTTCCCTTAGTAGCCTGAAGATCCCCAGCTTTCTCTGTTGATGAGGGGGCAGTGGAGATAAGAGGGACAGGGTAATATTGTGGTCTAGGCTAGGGACTGGGCTCCAGGTTTGGTGACCAGACCCTGCCCACTAGTGTAGCAAATCTGTCCTTCACTATGCCCCCCAGACTCCCCCTCCAGAAAAACCATTCCTGGAGAAATACCCTCTGGCCATTTGTTGCCTCCGCGTGTCTCTTTTGGCATGCCACCTGGCAGGGGTGAGCTACCCACATGGAAGGCCAGGGGAGCTCAGGGCTGCCGAGGGCCGAGCACTAACCTGCACATTCACACAGCCAGCCGGGCCGCAGCTGATGCCCGGGGACGTGCTGGACACCAGTCTGCAGCTGCCTCTAACCTCTCTGGCCTCAGTCTCCAGGAGGCACAGCAGATCCTCAATGTCTCCAAGCTGAACCCCAAGGAAATCCAGAAGGTGAGGCTACTGGGCTGGCTCTGAGACAAGCAGACCAGAAGTAGGGGGCGGGTCAGCAGTATAGGGAAGAGTAAAGGAGGTCTGGCAGGAAGGAGGACAGGGGTAGAGGATTTGGCTGCAGCCAGCTGGGACTCCAACTTTTGGGAGCCAGTGTCCCTTGTTAGTTTGTAGGCCCAAGGCAGGCAGTAGCAGAGGCATAGGGCGGTTGGTGATAGCAGCCAAACCCCTCCCTCCGTGGGTATCTGTCCCCCTCTCTGCCCCTTAGAAGTTGCAGCAGCTTCCTGTGTAGAGTTTCAGGCACACAGGGTGGAGGGGTCGAGCCCTTTTGTTTTCCTTCTTTGTCATCTCCTAGCTTCCCCTGCCTCTGTAACTCAGAGACTGCACACCTCTCACCATCTCCCCTCCTCTGCAGAACTACGAACACCTATTCAAGGTGAACGATAAATCTGTGGGCGGCTCCTTCTACCTGCAGTCAAAGGTGAGTGGTTTTTGCTGCAGGGAGGACAGCAAGCTATGTTCCTGGCACTGGAACTTGGTAGGTAGAAAGGTGTGTGGGCCTTTTCCTCGTGCCCCAACCTCAGGGAGGACCCTTAAAACTGTCACTCCTCCTGGCTTTCTCAGCTGTCAGGCTCTGTCAGCCTAGGCCCTGTATCATCTTAAAAAGCAAACCTCCCAACAGCCATGGCTTTGAGGAAAAAGGACCACGGCTGGTGGGTTGCTAGAAGCAGCTCAGATCCCAGATGAAAGTCCACATGTGCCCTGGGCTCTATTTGCCTCAAGGGGAAGCTCCCAGAGCAGCCTTCTCACCCCGGGCATTAGACCTGCCCACTGCCATCCAGGACTCCCAGTTGGAATTGGACCATCTTTTGCAGGCCGCTCTACCTAGCTGTTTGTAACTCCTTCCCCAGGTGGTCCGAGCGAAGGAGCGCCTTGAGGAAGAACTCCGAATCCAGGCCCAGGAGGACAGAGAGAAAGATCAGAGGCCCCAAACGTGACCACTTGGCTCTTCCCACCCCACTCTGCCCGCCACCTCTAATTTATAGTTCGGTAATAAATGTCTTTTCCACATTTCTCAAGTGTGCACATCCAGATCCCAGAAGGCACACTGCTCTTCCTGCCAGCCGTGGTCTGATGAGGGGTAGGGTAGGGGGGTCAAGGTGGGTAAGTTTGGCGAGAAGCGCGCCAGCCCTCCTGGCCCTGCCCACCCATGGCCCCTTCTGCCTGGACATAGCCTCTCCTATAACATCACCATCCTCTGGTCAACCCCTTCCCTTCCAGCTGGGGGACACAGCCCTGGGACCTCTTACTCTGTCACAGACTGCCTCTTACAGCTGGGTTTGACTCTTAACATCTCAGTAATTTAGGTAAAATGCTCCTTAGATGGCTGGGGAAGAGAAGCTTCTCATTGCACCAAGGCCAGGAAGCTAGGTCTTCCCAAGAGGTAAACCACTCACCCAAGTCACAATAGGCAATGGCAGGACAAGGACCTGTCTATGAGCTTCACTCCTGTTCCTTTACTACCTGCCCCCTCCCACCATTCCCTTCTCTTCCCACTCCCAGTGGCAGGTTGAGAGGTGGTGGCACCTACAGGGCTGGGAAGAAGCCCCAAGAGTGTCTCTGAGTGCTACAGTTTGGGGTGGGTGACCCCAGAGCGAAACACAGGGCAGTCAGAAGTGGTTTCTTGTTGGGTGGCCAGCTTCTGGCATGTCCAAGGCAGAAACCATCTTTGCAACTCACTTTTATTGTTTCTTTATAAACTTCCTCTCACATGGAGGAATATATTGTTATAGTCATTAGCTTATCTCTTTTTTTTTTTTTTAACTCTATGCTAACAGCAGTGGAGCCAAGAGGAGGAAAAACATATGCTATGATAGAAAGGCACTTAGAACCTGTTAAAATACTGATATCCTGGAATGTGCAACAAGAAACCAACAACACATACACCAGCCCTCTTGAGCCTGGTCTATCACTGAGTCACATGCTGAGCTAATGTCACCTTCCAGTGCCCTGTTCCTCTGCTCCTTGAGCTTGAATCTCAAACCCCTTACCCCCCAACAGGGGACTTAAAAGGCCTGGGTCCTGGGTGGGTCCCGAAGAAAGGAGACCAGCTCCTTCCTGCTTTGCTCACAACCCCTTCGAGAGGCAGAGCAAGCACTACGGGGCCCTGTTAGGGCAGGCTAGGTCAGGGTGACCCCTCTGGGATAGAAGGGCAGTCCAGGAAAGGGCAGGGGTCAGCAGAGCTGCTCAGAGGAACAGCCGGGGGAATCTGGAATTGCAGGGCTGCTAAGGACCCTACCATGGTCCTGCAGCTCACTTGTTCTACTGCCAGGGAAAGGGAAGGCTTGCTCACTGAGGCCAAGGACAGGGCAGGCCTAGGAGCCAAAGCTCCTGATGGCTAGGCCAGTGCCTCCCACATGGCACCAGGCCACCTCTCAGGGCACAGCAAGGGCTCAGGGTGGGGGGAAGCACATGTCGCATCCCCAGGACCTGGGGGGAAAAGACCACTCCCCAGGGTTGGGCAGTAGGCATACGGAGCATCAGCATCCTTGGCTTATTCTGGACCCTGGGAGTAAAAACAAAAGCCTCTCTAGGACAGGGGCTCAGCTGGAAAAAGCCAGAGGGAACATAATGTCACAAGTCTAGGCTCCTTCCACCAACTTCCCCTACCCAGGTGGAGGGGGTAGGCCTCCCATGGCCATCCTTGACTGCTTCACCATCCCCCAAGCCCAGAGCCTCTGCTCATAGCCTCTGGCAAGCACTGGCCTGTAGCCCTCCCTTACCTGTGTTTTGGCAGCCTCAGAATGAGAGCTGCATCCCAACCTGGGGCCATCCCCAGCCAGCCTTCTGCCTCCTACCAGGCTGCTGGCTTCCTGTAGCCCCAAGTGCAGGGTAGTGGGGGACACTGGCCCAGGCCAAGCCCACCCCACCTGTTCCCTGAGCCAGGTGGGCCCGAGGTCCTAGCACCTCCCCTTCCCACACTTCAGGGCTCCCCAAAAGGAGCCAAGAGGCGGCCAGTGGTTAAGGGGCAGCTGAGTGGTAAGCTGTCCCCTCACCTTGGAGAGTATCATCCAACCTAGAGAAGGGGCTGACCCTCAGGCAGTGCTGGCTGTTTCAGATGGGTAGGTAGGTGCTATGGGGCAGTGGGCAGAGCAGGCCTCCCTCTGAGTAGGAGGCACCTTGTCATAAGGATAAGGTGGTTCTTCCTGTGGCTTTGCAGGGGCCTTCATCTGTCTTGCTCTCCCTCTGGCAGGTGGGCCAGAGGGAAAGGGGTCTGGAGAGTCGAGGCAGGAGAGGTGGGGCCTTAATTCTGGGGCTCCTTGTCACAGCTCACCACACACACACACATGGGTGCAGGAGCACTGGACCAGCAGAGGGCAGATGCCACCCCACCTGTCCCCACTGCTGGGACGTGGCTAGCAAGTAAACAAGGCAGGGAGGGAGGGGGGACCTGCCCAGGTTGGCCACTAGGTGAGGAAGACACCAGGGTAGAGGACAGAGCAGGGAGACTGAGGGCCAGAGGTGAGCAAGGCCTCAGCAAGAGCTCAGGTGTCTTTGTCCTGCAGGCAGTTCCTCCCCTGGGAGCCTGGGACACCAGCAATGACCTAGCACCATCCTTGCTGCCCAGCTTGTCTGGGGTTGGAGCTGCCAGGGGTATACAGCCAACCAGGCCTTGGGAGCAGGAGGACATTATTGCTATTTCGCAGAAGAGTTTCTGTTCGTCGGGGCAGGGCCAGGAGCTTTGGGTAGCCGTCCCTCGGTTGGGTTCAGTTCACCACGGCTGGTTTGAGCAGCACAGAGCCCGGAGGGATGACCACCCAACCAGGGGCCAGTGCCTCTGGGCTGCTGGCCACCGAATTGACGCCTGTGGACAGGTCCAGCACGGTACCTGGCAGCAGGGAGAGTCCTTCAGGGCTGGGCCGGGAACGACTACTCTCAGTCCTCTCCAGGGGGGTCTTGCGGCCCTCCAGGGCCAAGGCCCTGGCTGGCACTGCCCCACATCCCTTCTCCCCATCAGCCTTGCCACCCATGGATCCAGCCAGGAGGGAGACTACAGGCAGGCCCAGTCCACTAGCACCAAAGGGTGAGGGCAACAGTGGGTTCTTGGCCAGATTGAGGGGCAGGACAGGGCCTGGCAGCCCAGGGCCCATGCCCACCCCACTCCCACTGCCCCCACCATTGCCACAGGCCAGGGCACTGAGGTCAAGGGGGCCAGGGGCCAGGGGCAGGGGCAAACCAGGCAGGCTGGGGCCTCCAAAAAGGGCAGCTGGGTTGGGGATGATGATCTGGGCCCCACTGACATAGGGGCTGCCATCGGGGGCAGGCAGTGGTGGTTTGGGGGGTGGGCGCAGTTGTAGGAGTTCCTGCTGCTCATGGGACACGAAGTGGCCATGGGCCTTGATGTGCTTGCGTAGTGAGCTGGGGTCCGTGTAGCGCTTGTGGCAGCCGGGCATCTTGCAGTAGTAGGGCTTGTCCACGTAGTGGGTTCGAGTGTGCTTGAAGCGGTCACTTGAGTTGGAGTAGCGCTTGTTGCAGCCCTCATACGGACAGACATAGGGCTTCTCACCTGTGGGCAGGGGTGGTGTCAGGGGTCTCTCAACCCAGTGTCCTGCCCCTCCCTGCCATCTACTTGGCAGCCCCCAGACCAAGATCTCTGTGAGAACAGACTGTCCCACTTAGGGGGAGGTGTCCTTAGCACCCGGCATAAGATCTGATCCTAGGTGGGGGCAGTGGAACACAGTCACTGAGAAGCCAGCCTGGTTACCTCCAGAACCCCTGTGTCATGACAGTGTGCCCTTGACCTTAGTGCTATGCTTCAAATTGCAGATGACAGCAACCACTTTATAATTACAGACTTTAAAGCCCCTACTAGGGGAAGCCCACAGTGAGCACTGCATGAATGCAGACTGCCCTTTGAGCAGCCCTTATTTGGCAAAATGGCTCCAGATTTACTAAATGTCTGCTCCTGTGCTAACCCGATCAGAGCCATGTAAAACTACAGGCCTTTGAAGTGTGGCCAATCCAAACGGAGTTGTGCTGGGAGTGTAAATTACACACCAGATTCTGCAGACTTCATATGAAATGAAGAACTTCAGTGTCTCATTGATATCTTTTTAATTTTGAAATGACAACACTTTGGACATACTGGGTTCAAGAAAACATGATTACAGTTCATTTCACTTTGTACTTTAATGGAGCAATTGGGAAATTTAAAATGAGGTATGTGGTTCTGTTGGCTAGTGCTGGCCTTACTGTGTGGTGGGGTATGGTTATGGTGAGGAGTAAAGCAGACACTGGCTTCAGTCACAGATGGCATTAGTCAGTCTTACAAACATAACAATGCCAAGTGTGGCGGGAAGACCTGTCTGTTCCCGGATGTTATAGGTCTGACCCACAGAAGAGGATTCCCTCAGCAAGTGGCACCTGAAAAGGGACCAGTGAACAATGGGACACGTCCCTTCTCTCTTGGATGCCTGGGGATGGCCAGCCTGTCCAGCTACCACCCCGCAGCCCCACCTGTTACCTGTGTGTGACCTGTTGTGGATCTTCAGGTTCTCCAGGCGGGAGAAGCTCTTGCTACAGGTTGGGCAGCGGTGCGGCTTCTCGTTGGTATGCGTGCGGATATGGATGAGCATCTTGTACCTGCTCCAGGGAGGGCATGGGGCACAGCTCAGCTCGATGGTCACCCATGCCCCCTCCCTCCTGCTGGCTCTCACCCTCCCTCACCTGGCATTGAAACCTCGGCCGTGACGGGCGCAGCCCTCCCAGTGGCAACAGTACCCCGCATCCTTCTCCGGCTTGACGTGGTAGTCATTGACATGATCCACCAAATCTTGCAGGAGCTCGAAGAGCTGGTTACACTGCAGGACCAGGAAGGGTTCTAAGCCCACGTGGGGCTACCTGCCCCTGCCTTGCCCCACTCTTCCTGGCCCTCACTCACCTTGGCCCAGCGGCAAACCAGTTGTTTTGGCAGGGGTAGCTCTGGTGAGAGGCACTTGTCCTTGGGGGTGGTGAGGAAGGAGGAAGCAGGCAGGTGCAGGGCTCCCCCAGAACCCAGAGGCAGGAAAAACTGGAAGGAGCTGGGGACATTGTCCAGATAGCGCAGTGGCCGGAAATCCTGGTAGGAGAGGGTGAGGGGCAGAACCCTGTGGGTCCAGCAGACCCCCACCCTTTCTGTTTACTTCTGTATCAGGTTGAGTTGTGTCCCCCACAATGATATGTCTCGGTCCTAACACCCAGCACCTGTGCACATGACCTTACTTGAAAATAAGGTCTTTGCAGATATGATCAAGTTAGGAGGGGGGTCTTGATAGGGGAGTCCTAAAGCCTGTGACCAATCTTCATAAGGGGAAGGACATTTGGACACAGGGACACTCGTAGAGGGAAGGAAGCCATGTGACAACAGGCAGAGCTTGGCGTGATACAGTTACAATGCAAGGATTGCCTGGAGTCACCAGAAGCTGTAAGAGGCAAGGAAGGATTCTTCTCTAGGGTCTTCAGCTTCCGGAATGGTGAGAAAATAATACATTTCTATTGTTTTAAGCCACCCAATTTGTGATCCTTTGTTACAGTAGCTTCAGAAAACTAATACACCTTCTCTCCAAAACCCATATCCCATCCTTACCGGGGTCGTGTGGACTGTAGACAGGTCACCATTGCTCTGGCGCTCAGGGGACAGTGAGCTGCTGCCATTGGGGGAGTCTAGCCCTGATGATGGCGACAGGCTAAGGTCTACCAGAGGGGCTGCTGAAAAGCGTCCCTCTACCTTCTCAGGAAACTTGGGGTTCAGCAGGAAGCCTAAAAGAGAGGCATAATTCAGGGGCAGAGCCAGGAGTCCTGGTGGGCCACACCTTCCTACCTCTGAATCCTAAGCCATGACCCTGGAAAGAGATCCCATTGATGCCATACTCCCTGACCACCCTGGGACCTCAGGTAACTGAGCCAACAGCCTGTACAAGTGATAAATGTGAACTTTGCTATCATGAGAGCTCAGATATCAATTGACATGAGAAGTGGGAAGTACCCATTTTACAGATGGAATGATCTGGTACATAGGGCGAGTAACTGACTAGGAACTGGAAGCCAGAGCTCCTAGTTTCCCATCACATTGGCAGGTAGATGCCTTTTTAACTTTCCCCAGACCCCTTCTGTAAGAAAAGAGGTTTGGGCCCTGGCTGGTATGGCTCAGTGGACAGTGTGCTGGCCTGCAAACCAAAGGGTTGCCGGTTCAATTCCCAGTCAGGGCACATGGTCCCCAGCCAGGTCCCCACCAGGGGTTGTGTGAAATGCAACCACACACTGATGTTTTTCTCTTTCTCCTTCTCTTCCCCTCTCTAAAAATAAATAAATAAAATCTTTAAAAAGAAAAGAAACCAAGACATTTGGTCTGGACTACTTCTAGAGCCTTCTAGCTCAGAAGTGGCAGATCTGATTTTCAGGGGCATCAGAGGCAGAGCAGAGGGCCCGAGCCCTAAGCATCCTGAAAAACACTTGCTGGGCTAGGTCCCCAATCTCTACTGACCTGGCTAGCTACCCACACTGCCTCAAAGCCCAAGAGTTGGTTCTCAGGGCCTTTAGTTATTACATGTAAATCCCACTCCCCCCTTATCAGCCATTTCAAATCCTCCCAGAGGTCCCATTTGTATCCTGGCTCTGCCGTTCCAGCTTTATAAACCAGGCAGGCCATTTCCCTCCTACTGGGGACAATGTAACTTCCAAAGATAAACTGCTGGGAGGATGAATGGCCAGAGTATGGGGAGCACGCTAAGTTGGAAGCTGTGAGGGGCTATGGTTATGTCCAGGCGGACACACCTTGGACATTCTACCGCCACAGCTCCATCTGCCCAGGGCAGAGACTGTTGCCCTGCCCTGGTGCAGTACCTGAGGGTGGGGAGCCTGGAGAGCATGGGGTGGGGCTACTGTCCACCAGACCAAGCTCCCTGTGCAGAGCTCGGTGCTGGACCACATTCAGCGTCCTCTCCCGCTTTTCTCTCGCCGCCCGGAGCTTGGTGATGCTCAGCTTCAGGTCAAGCGGCTCGTCCAAGGAGTGCATAGTGATGGGCTGGGGTTGGAGGTGGCAGCAGGTAGTGGGGAGCTCCCAAGCTGGTATTCAGGCAAGAACCTAGGGGAGGACAGGAGAGCTGTGTTGTGACACTGTGACTGCAGGCCCTCCTCGGGCTGCACTTATTAAAGCCCACAGGAGTGGGAGGCAGTGGGTGTGTAGCAGTATGAAGGCCATCTCCCTAGGCAAGGAGACCCTCTGAGTGGCGTGATCAGCAGGTATCATGAAGAGAGCCAACCACCTACTCAAGAGCTTCCACGTCCACTTCCCACAAGTCTTTTCTGGAAGACAAAGCTTAAACAGTCCATGAAATGAGTTTTACAGATTCTGCCTCAGGTCACAGAGCTAGGAAGTGGTAGAGCTAACAGATTTAAGGCCAGATCTCCCTGGAAATAACCAGCCAAGTTCCAAAGGTCATTTCTGACTGAGCAGCAAGTCATGCCTGGGATACATGCCTGGTTTGAGCTACAAGACCCAAAACCAGGCCAGAGAAGCAGTGTGTTCTCCAAGGTGGCCATGAGTGGTCCTCAGCTACTGACTGCTGAGCACTCCTTGTGCTGAGCCCCATAGGGATCTGAGGTCTCCTCTGAGGGAATAAGGCTGAGAGTCTGCTGGGCAAAGCAGAGCAAAGCCTGACCCCAAAGGATGGGTGTGCAGACAGGTGGCCTTGCCTCCCGAGTGAGATCAGGAGGGGAGGTGCCCACAGGAAGGAGGAGCCAGAGGGCTCTGGGCTGCCACCAGGGGGCAGCTGGGGGCTGTGGCCCAGCCAGGCCAGCCAGGGATGGCAGGCAAGGTTGGAGGGAAGTGGACCAGCTGTATAGGGGTTAGTAAAATATATGAATATATCATTTTTTACTGGTGATAATACTTTGAGTTTTCATGCTAGAATTTTCACCATTTTCTTAGAATGTATCAATGGTATAATTTTCTTCACATAAAAATAACCCAAGAGCAAGATCAACAATTCATTCCAAAGTCAGTTGTTTGTTGTTTTTTTTTTTTACAGCAGTAGTGTTTTCATATGTGGAGAAAAAGTCAATGTGTGTCCTCGCATTTGTTAAGTAGATTATTACACCCTGAAAAATCTATCTGCTAAACACGCCAACACTGCGATACTGCCCATCCTTCACCAAATCCATGTTTTCACAACTTAATACACACCAACCACTAGGAAGTAAAAAACTGTGTATTTCACTTGTGTGTTTCCTTGTGGGCCGGTGTTGCCCAGATGCATACAGAGCAGCCTGGAGCTCTCTCCACAGAGCAGAACAGGGGAAGACAGCCCCCATGTCCCCACTCAGGTTTTTTCCAGGTCAAGCCCCTCAGCTACTTTTAAACAGTCTTCACCCAGTTCCAAGCCATGGCTCATCTGTCTCCCCAGACAAGTTCCACTTCTGCCAAGAACCCTCCAAGCACACAGGAAATAAGGCAATCCCTTCCCTCTCTCAGGACCCTTGGCTTCTGGGGAAACATCCCAAGACTCCACCAGCACATGGCTAATTGTCAGTCTCTGAGCCTAGGGAGGAGAAGCGCATTATCAGAGCATAGTTGGCTGCATTTGGCCATGGGACCCAGGTTTTGTTATTTGACTTGTCCCTGTTAAACTCCATCAGGTGGGAGCCTGCAGATTTGTTTGGATTTGCCTCCCAGACCATGCATGGGCTAGGAGCTCCCAGTGATGCAAGGGGGGCTGGGACCAGACTGCTACCCCGTCCAGGAGCTCCAGATCCAGGCAGGCAGGTGAGTGAAAAACAGTGATGGATACATGTGGGCCCCCTTCACTCTCCTTCTGGCTTGGGGGAGGAGCTGCCCTCTGCCTGACCCACCCCCAGTTATGTCTGTCTGTCTGTGTGTCTGCCTGTCCCTCCACCTGTTTATTTTTAGACACTGGCCCCTTCCAACCTCCCTGAAGCTCCTCTGTGCTAGGAGCCTGGAAGGAGAGGAAGGAAGTAAATATTTATGCTGATTAAGAATTCAGGAGCCAGGAAGGGCTGGTGGCCTGGTCCTTGGCTGGCCTAGGGCCACAGGCCTCCCCACAGCTTCCACACCCCCACCCCTCACCCAACTGTCCAGAGAAGGGGACCATGAAGGCAGCAGAGTTTGAAATGGAGAATTCAAAGTGTCACTGATTGTCATTGGTGTTGTTGACCAGGCAACACACTCTTGGAAGCTGCCCCACTGCCCTGCCCCCAGGCCAGAGGGGGACCCTGGGTCACCTTGTTCTGGAGACCCGAAGGAGATACTGCTTCAATTCAGAATCAGGGAGGGCTCCAAGAGAAACCTGTCTCCCAGGGTGGGGCTGAGCTCAGGGCCCATGATGAGAGAGGACACTCCAGCACCCCACCCCCGAAGGACTGCCCCTCACTTCCTGCCCTTGGATTTTGCCCAGGGGTTCATTCTGATGGAAACCAGAGCCCAGCCTAGAGGCCCAGCCACCCAATTCCTGGGGAAGGAGGAAGGAGCTACCCCCAAAGTCAACAGCTCCCAGCATCCCCACCCCCAGGCTGGCCTCACCCTGATTTCCCTCCCAATTGTGACCCCACTCCTTAGCCAACCTCAGTGTCTTCTTTCACCCCCGCCCCACCCCCCTTCCCCCAGCCAGCGGCCATTCTGGGCTCTGGCTCTGCTCTTTGTTCCTGGGCTGGGTGAAGAGAGCTGGGTGAGAGCCAGAGTTATGCTCTCCAGAGGCTGAGGGGACAGCAGGGTCTTGAACCCTGGCTCTGGCTCTACGATAACCATCGGAGGCCAGTGCCCAATTTATGGCTCAGGACAACGAGAAAGGTAGGGAAGACGGAGACGCTGGGAAGGTCGGCTGTTGTGCTCTGAGTGTGCAGGCAATTTTCTTAACCAGTGGTAATGCCCGCAATAGGCAGGGGCCACAGAATCTCCTGTACCCTAGTACCCCCAGGGGGAACGTGGAGTCCCTTCCCCTGGGAACCAGGCCGCAGAATCCCTGGCTCAGTTTCCCGCTAGCTGGCTCTTCCGAGGTGATCGTTGTGGGGCTCCGGATGGGTGGGGAGGCAACGCCAAGGTGGTCGTGCTCCAGATGCGAAAGGAACTAATTAGAATGGAAGGAGCGAGAGCCCTGCAGGGACCACCGAGGTCGTGAGGTGGCGGGGCCGGGTGGGGGTCACCCTGGGGGGTGGGCCATGCTTGCCCTCAGGCTGCCCCCGCCCCCTGCATCCTCCCTGTGGGCTGGGCCTAGATAATGGCTGCTATTGTGTGCTGCCTGTGGGCGAGCAGCGGCCCCCAGCTGCAGGGCCCACCAAGCCTCCCCCACCCCCCCCACCCTGCTGTGGCCCGCCCTACCTGGCCGCTCCTCCTCCCCGCATCTCCCGCCCTCCCAGCCCACTGTAGGCAGGGGAGTACCATGCGGGCCTACACAGGGAGAAACTGAAGCCCCAAAAAGGCACATTCTCTGCCAGGGCTTTGTGGCAAGCATATAGAAAGGGGAGAAGGTGGTTGACATCCATTAAACACCTACCGTTTTACACTGTCCATGAGTTTTCTGAACCCTGCAAAACCCGACTGTGAGTAGAAAGTCATTCCCCCTGTTGTACAGGTAGGGAAACTGAAGCTAGAGATCACCAGGCTAATAGGAGCAGGCCAGAATCTGCTCTGGATAAAGCCTCTCCCTCCCTGCCTGGAGGAGGGCAGTGAGCTAACCCTAAGTCTGGAGTAGCCCTGTGTAGGTAGAGAGGGGCTCCGCACATCCACTCTGAGTAAACCTGAAACTACCCTTTGATCAGCCATAGCTCATTCAGCTTAGGACTTAGGGACAAGGGCCCAAGATGCAACTCTCAAAAGTCCATGTGGCTTTGATATAGACTGTAAAGGGGAAGCAAGTCCCTGTCCTCTCCTGCATTTCATGGGTGCCCCATTGTTTGATGACTGTCAACAGGCTGATCTTACATACAGGGAAACTGGCCCAGAGAGGGAGACCTCTGCCTCAGGTTGCACAAAGGGTTAGCAAGCCCAGGATTGGAAGCCATGGGTGAATATTACAGAATAACAGTACCAACAGCCAGTTGTTGGTAATTGGGGAACAGTCTAGCACCTGTTAAGGCAAGTGCTCTTTCATCCCTATTTTACAGATGTAAAAACTAAGGCTTGGGGAGATTAAATGAACTGTCCAGGGTCACACAGCTTGTCTGTGGCAGAGCTGGGTTTCAAGGTGGGGTGAGTCCAGAAGCTGTGTCCACCATTAGTCCCTCCTGTGCCAGTGGATATGGGAAGGGACAGGCAAAAGGGCTCCCCTCCCTGCCCAGGGGTTTGCTGGAACTAGGTGCAGAGCCTAAAAGGGGCACAGGCAGTGGGTGGGCAGTCGAGAGGCCCACTAGGCGGGTAGCCACAGGGAAGCTTGGAAAACTGCAGGCAGTTATGCTGCCAAAGGTAGGGCCCACAGTCCTGCATTCCTGGGAACCACTGCAACTCCGCCCTGCTCTGCCTAAGAGCTCCACCCTCCAGGGCAGCCAAGCAGCAGGGGCTAGAGGGGCAGGGGCAGGCCTTATCCTCTCCTGGCCCTCCTTCCTGATCAGGCAGCAGAGCATACTTCGGGCTCTAAGTATGGGGTAAAATACCTGGGTCTCCAAAGTGGTTCTGCCACTTCCTGCCCATGTGACTTAAGGCAAGTCACCTCAGGGTCCTCATCTCAAAAATGGGATGATGATAATAGTAATAAGTTACTCCCATTGGGTTTTGGGGAGAAATCAATGTAATCATGCACATCCAATGGTTACTTAGTGTTTCCCGTTGATATGCAATATTCAGCACCTAGAACAGTACTGGGTGCATAGTAGGTACTTAATCAAACTTCTTGATTAAGATGTCACCATTGCTGAGTTCTACAGTATTTGGCCAGTCTAGAAAGTGAAGGAAACTAAATGGGAGACTGGTCCTTCCCACTGTACCCACAGACACTAGTTTCACACACATCTGGGAGTTCGTGGGCTTCAGTTTAGGGTAACTAAACAAGTGTGTGCCCCTCAAGAGCCTCAGGCCTCTGCTGTCCTGTGGAATGACCAAAGCTGCTGACCACAGTCACCTTCCAGAGTCTGACTGCATCAAGGAAAGAATGCCAGGAGGCCCTGGAGAGGCTCTGAACAGTCCTGGAAGGAGCAAACCTCCTCCCAGGATGAAAGG